AGAACGGATCCTGGGGCCAGCAGGTGGCGCAGTGCTGGGCTTCCACGTGGACAGCTGCAGTTCAAGTCCTAGTCACAACAGCTTGAAACGCACACCGGGAGTCTGTGCCCCAAATCCCAGGATAATGGAGAAGGGACTGCAGCGTGGCCATCGCCCCTGAGGGGAGGTCGCTCACATTCCCTCTCACTTTCTCTGTCTGTCTCTTTGGTGTGTGCACATGCCTTATGGCAAAAACCTGAAAAGAAAAAAAAGGCTTCAGCAGTGACATTAACTTTCTCAGTGTTTGGTAGCTCCACAGTAGAACCCATTAAGATACCCGGGTGCCCCTGGAGCTCAAGGGCATGGTGCCTCTCTGGTAGGACGGCCGGGTACCTCGTTTAGGGCCCACAGGGACTGGAAGGGGCCCAGAGACAGCCTTCCACGCACTCATCCCCGTGGTCAGGCTGAGCCCAGCTAGCACTGGGCGACGGTGGCTTTATTGCCTGAAGAAGAACTTGGAGGCTACAGAAAGGACTTGGCATCTGTTTGGGGCTGCAGGAGCGCTAGCCCTGAGATCCTTCCGTGTCCCCTGGAGTTCACCTATGCGTCTGCGTTGCATGTCTGCAGGCTCCGTCCTACCTTAAAGTGGACCTGTTCTGTTTCTCACTGAGTGATGACAACATGGTGATCAGGTGTCCAAGCACATGCGAGCTGTTTTATGGTAGTCCAGCTGGTTACCTGACCCAGCAGTGAGGGATTATATACAGCCGTATTCATCCACAGCCATAGTAATTAATTAGCTGACAGAATGCTGTGTCCTCAGCCCGTTTCTGAATCAGGGTCTGAGATAGGACTCTACTCTGGTTTCTATAGTTTGATGATCTGACATGCGAGAGAGACCGAGCACCCCGGGTGAGACCCAGAGTCCAGGTCTCCACTCCCGAAGGTGCTGCTCTGAGGCCTGGCATAGTAAAAGGCCGTCAGATGAGTGACGGGGTTTGCGTTTTCTGTTCAGACGGCGTGTGTGTCGTCTCGCATTTCAGGCAGAAACGTGAATACCACTTGTCCTGGCCGCCAAGGGCTTGCGTTGTGCGGGGAACACATCAGACAATTTCAGTATAACCTGCCACGGCCAAGGTCACAGGGCTTCCAAACCCAGAAACCAGGGCTAGGGCCAAGTCCTGGAAAGCTTCCTGGAGGAGGGATGAGTCTATAGGGTAGATAAAGAGTTGGAGAGGGAAGAACCCCAGGCCTCTGCCGTCATTTAAGCCAAGGAGTCCTGGGTGACGGGAAGGTCAGGGTGTCCTTGGCAGCCTCATCTTTGCACTTGGGTGACACTTTTTCCTCTGCTGTTCATGCTCGCTGTCTGGGACCTGTTGCCGGTCCAGCGGGTGACTGCCGGGACAGCGAGGTGACTTCTGACCCTGCTGCACCTCGCCACTTCTCAGATTCTTGTTCACCACTGGGAGGAGGCCGGTGGGGACGGGGCCGGCGTGCCGGTGCACTAACAGGCCTGCTTGCCCCTGCAGCACACGTGGAGAACGAAGAGCAGTACACCCAGGCTCTGGAGAAGTTCGGCGGCAACTGTGTGTGCAGAGACGACCCGGATTTAGGAAGCGCGTTCCTGAAGTTCTCAGTGTTCACGAAGGAGCTGACAGCGCTTTTCAAAAACCTGGTAAATGCCGGTCGTGCGGGTGCGGCTCTGCGAGCTGGAAGGTTCCGCGGCATGGCGACTGCGGTCCGCTTCATAAACTCGAAATTAGGTTCAAAGCTCCTGTCACACCTAAGAGAGTTACACATGGGGTCAACGTGGGATAAAGCTTGAAATCACAATTTTTATTCTAACAGTGCTTTTAAAATTCCACTCGGCACTTTACATGTGCACAGCTGAGACAAAATGGGGACACGGATCCAGCTCGTTCAAGGTCTCTGACTTCAAGTTGTTAATGCTTCCTAACTTTGTAGACTTGTCTGTGTTTCTGGTAATTAGAGTAGGCATTGAAACTTATAATATTGAATAATTAAGTTTCAGGCCCGTCTTACAGGGCAGGATAACCTATAATCAAAGCTCAGCGTTGCCATGAATATTCAAGGCCTTTTATGCCCACAAATGTGAAGCCTGGAGGGAGGAGACCAAAAGAGCGGGCTTGCTTCTAAGTGGGAACGTGGAGCCGTTTCTTAGTTGGCGAGGCTGTTGGACGGACCCTTTGTTGTGCGTGGCAACCTGGTTCTGTCCTCCTGGAAACAGAGTTCTGAAGTGGGCAGCCTGCAGGGCTCCATGTGACCCTACCTGGGGACCTTTGTGTCCCTGTTCTGTGTCTTTCCCCGGCGTCTCCACAAAGACCAGACTGAGAAGGCCATGCTTTCTCTGTGGGTGCCACACGGGAGTCTTTCACTTCTGCTGTCAGGAAGCTCCTGGCAAGCGCAGAAACCGCTCGGCAGCCTCGACGTGGTGGGCACAGTGGGTGTGAGTTGCCTGAGGACAGAAGCAAACGGGACACAGCAGCCAGTGACGGGAGGGAGGTGGCATAGGTCGGGAAGACTCTTAGACTCTCTCCCCACCTTCACTTCTGGATGTTTCCATCGGAAATGGAAAATAAGAAGCTGTCATTGTTCTTAAGTGTTTTGTTGGTCGGTTGGTCTGCGCGGTTCAAGTCCCGGATCCTGGGCTTGGAAAACACTCTGAGCAGTGGGAGCGTGTGCCCAAAATTCTAAGAGGAGAATAGAGGAGAAGGGATTGTGGCATGGCCATCCCCTTGGGGGTGACTTCTCATTCACTCTCTTTCTCTCTCTCACTGTGTGCACTGTGTGAGTGTATTCCTATAGCAAAAAACCCTGAAAACTTAACAAAAACAAAGCCTGTGCTGGCGTGGCTAGGATTTGTTAACTTAGCAGGATCGGCAGTGGTTGCTAGGTACGTGTGTGTTACTTTCCTGTCGACTTCATGGAGTTACGATCGCTGATCCTGTTTGCTGCCAAAGAGCAAAGAGAGGAAATCTCTTACTTGAGCCGGAGTTAGCATCCCCGGGCCTGAATGTTCTAGGCGCATGCCGGTGTGGAAACTGTAGGGCCGGCCGCAGGTGCACGTGGCGCCTCCTGAGAAGCTGGGCTGCGAGGGGGCTGACGATGGGTGAATTCTCCTTTCCTGTGTCCATGCACCGTTCTTCCTCCTGTTTCTGGTCACATCTGCCCTATCGCATATTTCCCAGGCCATGCTTGGCCTTTCCCTCGGACATTCACAGCCACACACTTGTGTGTGGTGAAGATTCTCAGATCAGATCTACCTCTTGTCCAGAAAGAGTAAGATTTATCACCTGCCTGCGTTGCAGCAGGAAGACTGTTAATAAAGCAGTGGGCATGTCTCAGAGAAAGGCCAGCGTAACAGAGTGAGGTTTTCTTACTCCTGGGAGAGGCTCGCACCTTGAGTCTCTGATTTTTTCTGCAGGATGAAAGGGAAGACGCGGCAGCTCCAGAAATGTAACGTGTGAGCTTCAGCCGGTTGTGAAGTCAGCCCCCTTTCTGAGGTTCTTTTCCTCTTCCCAGACGGATGTGAGAATCCTGGAAAGATTTCCCGCAGGCCGCCTCTGTGCTGAGAAGTGCCTCCGCACTGCAAGGCTGTGTTCCAGGACGGAGTCTGAAATCCGAATCACAGCTGTGCCGATTGTTTCTGCAGGATGAAAGGGAAGACGCGGCAGCTCCAGAAATGTAACGTGTGAGCTTCAGCCGGTTGTGAAGTCAGCCCCCTTTCTGAGGTTCTTTTCCTCTTCCCAGACGGATGTGAGAATCCTGGAAAGATTTCCCGCAGGCCGCCTCTGTGCTGAGAAGTGCCTCCGCACTGCAAGGCTGTGTTCCAGGACGGAGTCTGAAATCCGAATCACAGCTGTGCCCTCTCTGTCCTTGATCTCGGGGAGCTGGTAGTAAGAGGTGGATCCAGCGTGCCTCCAGAACCTGCTCTGTGAAACCAGCCTCGTTGGGAGCAGGGCCAGCAGGTGCCGTGTGGAACTGGAGTTGCAGCCTGAGCTCTGAAGGTGCCCTGGGCTGAGGCCTAGGTTTGCATTGGGAAAACCCTGAAAGTTCCACCAAGCGATGTGCACATATGTTGTTGCTTTGTATTGAAACGGTCAGCGTTAGACGATGTCACAGAGGAAGGGGGCTAGTGAGGGGACATTGGGGTGAACGGCTGCTATGGCTTCACAGGCGCCCTGTGCCTGGCAGAGGGGCATCCCCCCACCCCACTGTTGTGGGTGACGCTGACTCTATTTTTCTCACTAGTTGGTTTTTCCCAACCAGTTTCTGCCTCTAATGCTTCTTGTTCGCGGTGCTGTGAGCTGGATGAGGGACTCGCTAGACCCGTGTTCAGTAAGAAGCTTGTAGTTCTGCACGAGAGAGGCCGGAGGGCGAGGGCTTCTCCAGGGCTAAGTACCCGATGGACCTCCCAGCAGTTTCTTGGGACACCAGGTGCCACTTGAGGTTCAGAGTGGTCTCGTTTCCAGCTGGAAATGCTTTGTCTCAGACTCAGATCTCAACCCGTAAGCTCCTTCCTGTACTCCAAGACCTCTCACCGAAAGCGCCTTCTTAGTTCGATCAGTACACCAGCCTCAGAGGCCCTGCCTCGGTCTCTGTGGCCACCTAGTTAATATGTGTAAATTCGGCTCTGATACTGTTCCTTTTCTGGGTAATGGGGAGGCGCTGCCATCTCTATAACTCCGTGGTCCATGGGCTTCTCATCGGTGTGGTCAGAGAAAGCACTGGGGGGAGAGGTCAGGGTAGCAAGGCCCTGGCAGGAGGAGGGGTCCCACAGCCAGGAGAGGGGGCTGCTGGGAGCTGCTGTGCTCTGACCCACTCTCCGTGGGGCAGTGAGGTCCGCTCACTCCTGCCTGGGCAGGGGACGCAGGGAGACTGCTGGAATGCAAAGAGTGGGCTCCTACGTGTCCATGTGTCCATCTGCACACAGGCATGACACACAGCTCAGAAGCAGCTCAGATGCACGTAGGACCTGCTGCTAGCGCGTAGTCAATGGCAGTATTAAGGAACCCGGAGCATGGTTGGGTTTGGTTTGGGTCGTCGTGGGTTTTCTCCATGGCAGGCTACTCGGAGGCCAGGCCATGTGGTAGGGGACCGCAGACGTTCTAAGAAACCGTTCAGATAACCTGAGCCATTGGTGGTTTATTTTAGATCATTTTGCCTTAAGGCCTCTTGCTTTGCAAACATTTTCTGGCTGTTTGCCCATTCTTTCAGATCTGCAGCCTTTAGAAAGAACACAAAAAACCTGGCGGGCTCATTCCTGCCCCAGGACCTCTGTGTCTGCGCTCCACCAGATTTCCCACAGCTCTGTTTCGCTTCCCTCAGGCTGTCCTCAAGTGCCACCTGGTGGAAAGGCCTCCTGCCCACTCCACACGTGTCCCCCTCCCACAAGTGGCCACAGCAATCCTGTCTGTAATGTCTAATGGCCGCTGAACTGGAGACGGGCAAACACCAGCACTGTCTGGATAAACAGATTGTAACACTCCGCGCAGCGGGACGGTGCTCGGGAGGACGGGAGCGAGCCGTCGGTACACGGTGGGCCTCAGAGCGCTTGTGCTCAGTCTTGAAAGCCGATGGAGGAAGCCGGACGGAGCAGAGTACCTGCCGGCTGACTCTCCTCACCTGATGTCCCAGTGACCACTCCATGGCGACAGGCCAGATCCGTGGTGCCTGGGGCTGGACATTGGGCGGCGAGGAGGTGGCAGCTGGGGTTCCAGAAGGGGCAGGGGAAACTTCCTGTGATGGATAGGTTCACTGTCTGGGCCTCAGTGACGGCTCATGGGCGTGTCTGTGGGTCAGACTTATCAAGTCCCATAATGGAAATGTGAGCAGTTCGTCGTGTCAGTGATCCCTCGGTACTGCAGCCTAACGTTCATTGAAAAGCCATGTGTTGAGAACACCGCTGTCCTGTAGACCTCGCCCGAGGGCAGTGGTCTGTCCGTGCCCTGTCCAGTGGAGAAAGGAGTCGGATCTCACATGGCTGAACGCAGTTAACGTCCCAGACCTGGCAGCTTGGAAAACATACCCAGTACGTGTGTGGCTATGCCCCCAATCCCGACAGGATGCAGAGACAGCGGAGAAGGGGTTGTGGCAGCCACATGGCCCATTGAGGGTGCTGTTTCCCTCTTTGTCTCCGTCTCTCTGGAGAATGTAATGCCCCTGAAATTGAAGAGGCACATTGCCCGTGTCTGTCCTGTTGGACACCACGGGCCTAGCGCCTCCCCTCCCGTAGCCAGCACCCTTGCCCACTCCACCTCACACACGTCCGGGGTCTGGGGCTGCAGGACCTGGAGGGGACTCGGAACTCCCCCCACTTACGTCCTTGCTCACGCCAGGCCCTCGCTAGGAAGGCCTCTGACTGAAACGAGGGGTGAGTTCTTCCTGCGACTTCCCGCTCAGACAAGGAGGTGTTGCCTGGCCTGGCCCAGGGTGAGCAGGTCCTTGTCATTCTTGGAAGCCTTGGCTTTTCTTGTTCAACTCTGCGGTTAGAGAGGAAAGAAAAACTGCCCAGATCCCAAATTGCTGTCTTGTCTACCTCTTGACACAAGTGTGTTCCAAGTACAGTCCTCTGGCTGTGTCCGTGTTCCCTAGGGAGACGTGGTCTAAGAAAAGGATGAGTACCCTGGAAGACCTTGGACTTACGAAGGGTTT